TTCCTTTGGGCCACATCACCACCTGTTGCTTGGACAGCCCAGGACCTTCATACTCCAGGCTTGCACTCTGGAGAGGTTACTTTGGTGCTGCCAAGGCAGCAAAGGCAACGTGGGAGGCAGCAGTTAGTGGTCTTTGCAGCCACAGTGTGTGCTGTGATTCTCCAGTTGTTTGGCCTCACCCCTGAGGCACACTCCATTGTCTTTCAAGACAGATGGATGCCAACTTCTTGCTGCATGCTGCTTTCTTGGCAATGCAGCAGAAGGGCTACTCAGGGGAACCTGTAGTCAAGATCTGACCAATCTCTTTAACATAACAAGCTGCAGCCTAGTTCCACACAACCTGTGAGCTATCAAGCCAAACACAAGGCAGCCTCAAATGCAGCAGCCCACCAGAGGCTTGACAAAACCTACAATTTTTATGCTTCCCTTAAGGGACTGAAAAAAACCCAAATGACTTTTCAATCACTTGGAAGAGCCTTGATACATGACTAGTGGGCTGAGCATCATAATTTCAGCATGTGTGTTATAGCTCAATCATCCTGCCTGAAATCTTATTGCCATCTATAATTTAAATCATGGATCCCAATTGAATTGAATTAAATACGGATTCAAAACCCACTAAAAAAACTAAAGCGATTTGGAGGTTAAGCTTAGAGATCTATTAGTATAAATCCAAATAAGCAGACTATGAATCAGATGGTAAGCCTTTTTAATATATGTTGGTTTTCAGAACACTTAAGGTTCTGAATTAATGGAATCGTTGTTTTGAAAAGCCACTTTTGCTACTTATTTAATTTTTTCATTCTAATCTGCAGAGCTCTTTGCATTGTTTTTTGTACTCACTCTCACATAAACCTTGCGAGGTGAGCCACTATCATTCCCATTTTACTGATGTAAAACTGAGGTTTACGGCAGGCATCCCCAAACTTGGCCCTCCAGATGTTTTGGGACTACAATTTCCATCATCCCTGACCACTGGTCCTGTTAGCTAGGGATGATGGGAATTGTAGTCTCAAAACATCTGGAGGGCCGAGTTTGGGGATGCCTGGTTTAGAGGGAAAGACTGCAAAAAAGAGTAATTGAGAACCTAAATCTAGCTTCAAGCCTAGCACTCTCTGGGTTGCATTTAGCAAAGTCACCCACTTCATGCAAGGACTTCTATTTCCACAATGGAACGGTCCCTCCCTCTGCCTTCTATAGGGATTCCCACCACCCTCCATATGTGGAGGGCTATGGGGACATGTAGGGAGAGAAGAGGGAGGGGATGTTCAATTGTACATGCGAAAGTCATTGCACAAACGGGTTGACTTTGTTGATTACAACCCAATCCATTTACCCAATCTTATGTTTAATTTACTCAATTTATCCCTCTTTCTCTGTTTCACAGGGCAATGAAATTTTATGCACAACTCCCTTTTTTATTTATTTACATGCTCCTCATCCAATTAAAAAAAACACACATTTCATTTAATTTAAGATGTCTTTAAACATTTGGCAATGTTTTTCTCAAGACTCCCCCTCCCCATCAGCTTTTGCTCAGAGACTGCATTTCCCCAAATTATTTGTCAACAATGTATTTGTATCCTTGATTGTCCACAAAGCCATTAACAATTGTAGGAATGCCAAACTTTCCCATAGGGCAGACTGCCTCCCACCCCGCCCCATATGGAATATGGGAGAAAATGTTTTCCTTCACTGGCAATAAAGTTTCACATGCATTTTGCTAAGGACAAAAATATATATTTTGAGATGCAATAGACGCTGCCAGATGCAACGAGTTTCTGCAGACACAACAACACCTCTTTATTTCTTGTTAAGGCTCCATATTATTAATGGGGAAATGCCTGCAAGTTATCCTTGTGTTTGAAAATCCACTGTGGGAAGGATTAATAAACATAGCTAGGTCTGATAGGGACGAGGAGGGAAATTTCTAAATTGGACCTAAATCAGCCCATATGTATTCCCTTGCTGAATAGAAGGTCCTCTAGTACAGCTGTTTTTCTTTGGTGGTGGTGCTGAACCTAATATGTCTGAGCACTCCCCTCTTGATTGTCTCCAATTTCTGATATTCAGGTGGGTTTAACCTTAAAAAAAAATAATGATCCAAGCCGCATGATATCCTGTAGCACTGTTCTAAATGCTGATTCAAGCATTGCAGGGGCCATATTTTCCAAGTCCAATTGCTTACTCTCAACATTTGTGACCTGATGGCTAAATAAAGAGACACAGCAGTTGCTGGGTTGAACTAGGGTCACTCTATTTAAGAATAAAACCCATTTTTAAAGCCTGCAGAGGGAAAACACTATTGATCCAGGAATAAACCTGAGCCAGAACAAACTGCAGCCCTAGGGTGACCAAAACCCCTGGCCAGACTGAGGCAGAACTAAGAGCTGAATGGGCCTTTCCAAATGTACATTTTCAGAAGAGTTAGCAATGTGCAAAGCAGGTTCAGGGCTCTGAGCTGGTTGCTAAAGAACAGGAGATCACTGCAACTGAGGTGACTTGTGTTCTTTCCTTCATAGGAGGTTTTTAAGCAACTGAGGTGACTTGTGTTCTTTCCTTCATAGGAGGTTTTTAAGCAGAGACTGGATGACCATCTGCCATGGATGCTTTAGTTGAGATTCCTTCATTGCAGGGGGTTGTCCTAGATGACCCTCGAGGTTCCTTCCAGCTCTACAATTTCAAGTTTCTATGACTTCTGCTGAGGAGCCTCCTGTTTCCCACAGTCCAAAGGTGGAGGGCACCCACCACACATGGAATGGAGAAGGAGTGCCTTTCTTCAGGTCAGATGCTTGGTTATTTAAGAATCTCAGGCTCTCCAAAAGGGGCTGAAGCCTAGAAGAAGTCCTGCATTGCAGGAGGTTGGAATAGATGACCATTTGGGTCCCCCCCAAATCTATACATTTCAATTTTACGAAGTAGACAGCATCTTAAAAAGCAGAGACATCACCTTGCCAACAAAGGTCCGTATAGTTAAAGCTATGGTTTTCCAGTAGTGATGTATGGAAGTGAGAGCTGGACCATAAAGAAGGCTAATCACCGAAGAATTGATGCTTTTGAATTATGGTGCTGGAAGAGACTCTTGAGAGTCCCATGGGCTGCAAGAAGATCAGACCTATCCATTCTGAAGGAAATCAGCTCTGAGTGCTCACTGGAAGGACAGATCCTGAAGCTGAGGCTCCAATACTTTGGCCACCTCATGAGAAGAGAAGACTCCCTGGAAAAGACCCTGATGTTGGGAAAGATTGAGGGCACAAGGAGAAGGGACGACAGAGGACGAGATGGCTGGACAGTGTTCTCGAAGCTACCAGCATGAGTTTGACCAAACTGCGGGAGGCAGTGGAAGACAGAAGTGTCTGGCATGCTCTGGTCCATGGGCTCACGAAGAGTCGGACATGACTAAACGACTAAACAACAACAACAGTCTGGAGGCAGAGGTTTGAAACACCTCTTAGTGTGCTCTCAACCTATAGCTAGTTGTTCACTTGGAACTATCCATGGTCCTGAACCTGACCTGCCTTGCTGATTTCTCCATAGGCTCCAGCACTAGGCCAGCACTCAGTAGTAGGAATGATCCCTCTGAGCTGATCCAACACAGATCCAGAGATCTGATGTATACATGAATATTTTTGCATTTACTTCGATGGTAGGGGCAGTTCCCTATGTACATGGCTTGTGAGCATGGAACTATGTGTTGGTGGTTAGGAGGAAAACCTGACAGCGGGAAAGCTCTGTATATCCATTCAAGCTCTTGCACTTTTAAAGAATCACTGGAATGGGATCGTTTAACAAACTTTATATACCACTTAATTGTAGTAAAACCTTTAAGTGACTTACAATAGATATTTAAATGATCAACGAGAGCAGTGGAAAACCATTGGAAAAAATTAAAAATAGCTAAAATTATTGGTAAAAGATATTAAAAGACACCATCCCCTGTATGTCTGGATAGGGTAGCCTAATAAAAAATGTTTTAAGCAAGCACCGCAAAGAGTACAGGGAAGGCACTGCCTGGCATCAATAGGCAAGGAGTTCTAAAGTGTAGGTTCTGTCACACTAAAATATCAATGATAATTATGTGCTACCTGTAACAGTGTCAATTCCAGAGATTAAAGAAGCTGACTGAGCACATATGGGGGATGGGCAATTCCACGTGTAAACTAGTCCCAAGCCATTAAGAGGTAGGATGGAACTCCGGGTATTCTAAGTTAAGAATTTCAATCCACCCAGTCCTAGAATCCATCTAAAACAAAATCAAGTGGCAAATCTACATTGTGAATGCAGCATTATTAAAATATAGCACTGTAGCAATCAAAAAGTTGACCTAAACATCATTTATTTTCCTGAATGGCTACTCACTGAATACCTTGAGGCCTCCTGCCTGCATTCTCAAAAGGTGTAGCTCAGACGCAGGCTGACCACCTCAAGGAGAATGAAGCCTTGGGGCCATTGCACAATAAGAACGCCCTTCATTCCACACGTACACTTTTGCAAGATGGAAATCCCACAGAGATCCCAATGAAGAGTAGATACGCAAGACAACAGCAATGACAAATCCTTATGTTGCATTCTTATAGTACAGGTAGTAAAGAATCTATCATTTGGAGCAGGCATCCCCAACCTGCGGCCCTCCAGATGTTTTGGCCTACAACTCCCATGATCCCTAGCTAACAGGACCAGTGGTTAGGGATGATGGGAATTGTAGTCCAAAAACATCTGGAGGGCTGAAGGTTGGGGATGGCTGGTTTAGAGGCATTTTCAAGATGAAGCACATTCAGTCGTACAGTAAATCAGTCTTGATTTATCTATTTTTTTAAAAAGGTGGAATTTGTATTAGGGAGGTGGGCTCACATAACCATCTTTGCAATGGGGACTCGGGTGTCAGATTAAAGAAACAGTTACACACACACAAACACACACACAAGTAAGTTGAGATTATGAGGCCCCGGCCTTTGCCAATCGCGTGATGGAATGTCATTTATGGCAGTGACGTTATTTACCTCTTTGAGACAGCCCATGAAGTTGTTACTGACTGGTGACCCAGGCAAGTCTGCTGTGCTAGGACTGCCTCCAACATAGAAAAAGTCATCGGAGCCCAACATGGTGTAGTCTTCTTGTGTGTAGCCCGTCGTGGTCAGAATTCCATCCACTGATATTGTCACCTAGATAACAAAGCACAGGGAAAGGACACGCTATACTCAGACCTACATACTGCTGTCCTTGGGATATGCCTGGTTTTTTATTGTTGTTTTTTATATTTTTATTTGTTTTTATTATTGTTATTATTATTTTTTTGAGACCTAAGGCGGAGCCCATTTTCATGTCTGTTTGAGGTTTAGTCTTGGATTCTATCCCTAGGTGCTCTAACTAGTTAAAAGAGTTGTCTTATTATTGAGCTAGTGTCAGCAAGTCCCTATTCGCAACTCAAAAAGGTTGATTAGCAGACACAAAAATGGTGTTAGTAGAATGCTTCCCTAGGTTAGTTTAGCTGGTGTTACATATTAGTAAGTTCAGTAAAGTCTGTCATCGACTAATAAAAAGAACGTGCACCTTGAAAAAACAGAAAACAAAAGAAAAAGAGGCACAAGCAATATCGCCAGCAGCACCATCACTGTTTGCACCATATATACAGCAGCGACTTGTCCATGCAAGAGCCTAGAGTCCATGCCAAAGCAAGAGGGAGGGAAGAAGAGGGGTGAGGGGAACCCAGCAAAGAACGACCAAGTGGCAGCAGCACACTCTGATGTGCGCATGCAGGAAAGCGAGTATCAGAGAAGGAGAAGAAAGGAAGAGAAAGGAATGGAGAGAACCAAACGGCTTTGTTGATGAAGTAACAGTATGTAGATGTGTCACTTCCGTCATTCTCGTCCGTGCCCACATGCCATGCATTATGAATGGTTAGAGTGCCAGCTAGGCTGGCGGCACGCTAGGCCAGCTTAATCCCTTGTTAGTTAACCACAGCTTTTGATGCAAAATGTTAAGGATGCCCCTCTACGTGTGAGTTCAAAAAAAGAGAGAGAGAGAGGAGAGAGAAAGAATTGGACAGGAACAGATAAAGTAAAAGAAAATAGGAGGTCAACAACAGATGAAGAGGAGGTTAAAAAAGTAAGCAGAAGAGTACCAACCGCAGTTCCTCTTTTGTTAATGATGTCTACAGTTAAAAGAAAGAAAGGAAACACACGGCAAACCCAAAATAAGAAACAATTAGAATGATATCTACCGAACAATGTAGTTTGTTTACCATAGCGTGTCCAATGCCTGAGTGCTTTGTGGAGAAGGGGGGAGAAAGGAAATTAAAAACTTGTGAACAGAATAACGATCGTTTGCTTAAAAAATATGATGGTCACTACCAATGTTAGTACATTATTTTGGTTCAGGTAACGGTTAGTAGAATGAAACATTCCATGAATGACATGTTAGTTATTAAGCATGTTAGTAACACAGAAAAAAGGGCAAAATAATTTTACAAGGAAAAATAAAAAAGCAGACTAACAGATACGCCTCCACAGAGGTAACAGCAGTTGTCTTTTCCTGCAAATATATTTATATATAGAGATCGATATTGATATATATACTGTAGAACTTATTTCAGCTCTCCACTGGACAGAAACAGACATAATGACCACATTCCTTTTGTCGTCTTCCAACTGAGTGTTTCTGACAGACATTCAAAATGACTCTCAGGGGGGTGGAACGCCTAAAGCTCATCAGCTGACCACTGCTTCTCCTGACCCCAATTCCCCCCCAAGCGAATCAGCAGGAATCCCCTAGTACTCATTTTTTTTTGACTCAGCACACAAGGACTTCTTTTCAACTCCAAAACTTCTTTCGGTCATATTGATGGACTTTAGGATCACAGTTTACTGCAATGAAACAAAGCAAATATCCTGACACATAACAATGAGTAGAATGGATTTCTGCAGCTAGCTCTCTGGTCATGCACCTGCCGGAACATGTCTAACTGGTCCTTCTAGCTCCCACCCCATGTTGGTTGCTTTTTATATGTTGGTTTCTTTTAACAGTTTTGGATGAGCAAAGGCAAATCTAGAAAGTGGGCCATTTGCTGACTAATTTGATGTCCATTTCCATCAAAATTAGCAGTGGTGTGCGCCCTTCCTATGCCAGATTTTGTGGCACAAACAAAACCAATCTGGCGATATATTGTTATGCATTGGCCCTGGTCCATTTATCACCTTAAACCACAGTTTAAAATAAATTGTGGTGTTGCATGCTGCTCAAAAGTATCAGATTTGGTCTGCCACTCCTGCTGAGGAAATGCTTCCAGTTTATTTTTCTTCAAATAAGACATGAATAGTAAGCCAGGAACCTTGGATTCCATCTGTGGCTTATTCAGAGAGAAACAAACCATGACTGCTAGTTCTTATGCAATGCAGGACCAGCCCAATACATTTTGGCACCTGAGGCAAATCACAAAACAGCACTCCCCTCCACGCTAGGGAAAAAGGGGTGAGTGAAGATCTATAACATGAACAAGGAGGGCAATAAAGATCTACATTGGATCCACTGTCCCTGTGGAGCCTGCCTTCTAAGGCTGTTACCTCACCTTGCCACATGAAAGGGCCGGCCCTGATGTAATGTGAATCCTGTCTCTGCTTAGTTTCCTCTCCAGAGTAACAACAGCAGGAGCAGGAGAGGATTGAAAGCTTGGAATACCAAGCAGCAGACCATTTGCATTAAACCACAGCTTATTTTTTAACCACGGTTGAATGGGACGTGTGAACCAGGTCATTGTTATGATTATAGTTGTGCAATATGTGAATGACTTTATCATTCTTAAGCTCATAGCACTTCAATCAAACCAGGGGTGAGGAAGCCTGAACGAGTTGTGGTTCCTCCTACCATATTTCCGGTTTAATGTCTGAAAATGGTTTTGGATAAGTCATATACTGTTTCTGAAGCTGGAGCATGTACATCTCAAGCCTACATCTTTTTATAGTGAAAGAGAAATAAAGGGAACTACTCATTGTACTTCCTTTCCCACTGTTTCACCGTCATGTTAAAAGCCACTCTAGTTAAGATCCCTTGTATATTGCCCTGTGACATCACTGCTGCCTCCTTCATGATAATTTTAATCCTGGTTAGGGCACTTATGAAAACTTATGGCCACATGATCCTTCTGACAGCCTATTTAGCATATCACACAAGCATTGTCCAATCACTATGTGAGCAAAGGCCTTTACATAGGTCTATGAACATTATGGAAGTGGTAGTGACCATACTGCATGAGGTGCATATAAAGGGAAGTCTAATTAAGCCTTAAAAGGCAGTGATTTGCCTACAGGCACCCAAAAAGCTTCATGACAAAAATGGAGATACCAATATCTGTAACCAAACCCTGTAGCATAGTTACTGTAGTATACTAACATCCAAAAGGATTATCAAATGGATACCAGGCATGTTTATATTCCAATCTCAGCCCTATAGATTCACTGGATGCCCTTTTAGCAACCCACTATATTTAATCTGAAAATTTCCTTCAATAAAATAAGACAAAACACCCAGCCAGCTGCTTTGAAAGTGTATAAAGTAACGACGGGGTTGCCAAGAATTTCTGAGTCGTAACTCAAGCTGAAGTTGTCTGGAAAGCAAGTCAGATATAATGTTTTAGAACAAATGCTTTAAGGTGCAATCCTGTTGTTAAATGTCCATTGATTTCAGTGGATTTTTTTTATTCATTTATGTATTTAAAAGCATTTATAAACTGCTTAATGTTTTAGAAATCTTTTAAGTGGTGTACAATAACTTATTGCGTACCAATAACTTATGTGTACAGCTGCAATCTTAGGGCATAAAGCGTTGATATACATTTTAAAATGCTGTTAATATGTAATTATCTTCTGTGTGTGACATATGCAGCATTTCTTGTGCATAAACCCATCAATATTGCACTACCACCACACTCAGTAGGATATCACTACCTCCACATTCCCATCAAACAGTCACACTTTGTAGCTGCAAATTTAGTTCCACCACCCAAATGAGTGTGAAATTCATGTGGTTGGAGAAATCCCGTATAAAGGCCAATGCTTCTGCACCCGTGAACAACCGGTGCATCACAATAAATGAGAATATAATAAATAGCATGACAGAAGAAGCTCCCAAAGATGAGTGAGGATTATCTGGATAATGTAAGAAGTCTATAGAACTCATGAGCAGTTTGCAAGCTAGGTTCCTGGGAAGAGAACTATAGCTAGATATGTGCCATAGGCCTCCCACCAAATGTAATGCCTGGTGTGCAATAAAACATGTATATCCTGGAGAACATTCCTATTGATTAGCTGGAAACAACCATATTTTCATCATTAACACACAGCTGTGCACGTGAGGTGATTAGTGTTAGATATTTGGATCTATTAGGTATTATGAATTGTCTATTATTTGTCTTATTATGCATTATAATTTATTTCCCACATGAACATTTCAGCTATGGTTTTATTGAATTAATTCATGGACCACAACAATTTTATCATAAGGAGTTATGTTTTGTCAACAGAAAGATATGTTGCCTGGTTAATTACAAATATGAAACAGTTCCCTTAAAAAGAGAGAGAGAGACTGAATTGGTCTCCCATAGCAATAATATTTCACCCTTTTATCATCTCCTTTAAATGCATATGTGTATTTAATACACATATATTTACACACATGCACAATTCTACAATTGTTGAAACAACCCTGGCCTGCAATGTCTTTCTAGGTGTGCCTGTGCTCATGTGTGGTTTAATTGACCCATCTCTTGGTAACACGTTGAAATCTACATTTCAGAGGTCAGCTAAACACTCAATGGCATGTTGTACTAACTGCAAGATCACCAAACACTTAGCTGTGGCAAAAGCAAAGTCAGTTATTGCTGTATCCATTCTACTGTTACCTGACGCAGATTTCTGGTTACTTTGACATCATGCCAGGCATTGTCATTAAATTTCCCATTCACAGGTTCCACTAGCGCTTCAAAGGCCCCTGAGCCCAAATTAATAACCAAGGAGACCGCTCCGTTTTTCAGGGCAAGGTTGACATAATCGGCCGATTTTCCAGTGTGAAGCATCAGTCCATTCCTCTGAAGGGTTTTAAAGGACAGAGTTATTTCATCACTGCTGCTCTGGATAGGATTCTGGGACAAGTCGTAGCAGAAATACTCTGACCCTTTGAATGTCGCGATGTATTCTTCTTTTCCTAAATAAATAGAGAGAAAGACAGGGGGAAGGAGAGAGAGACAGAGAGGGGAGGGGGAAAATAACTGTGAATCAGTGGATCTAAAATAAATACAATTCACACACACAAAAAACATACTTTGCTTTCCTAACATCAGCAACAGGAAATTATTTTTACAAAGAAACATAATTTCCCTTTGCAAGAAATACAAAAGTTGTATTTTTACTCATGGCTTTATGTGCTATTATTTTGGCAGAAAATTGTTGCATGGTGGACTCCAGCCCCAATGTATCAATGAGGACTAGTGTGTTATTCCTCTCCATTGCCAAAGCTTCTGAGAGCTGCTAGCCTGCATCAAACCATGATAGTGGCCCACAGTATTCTCTCAAACGCAGCACATTTTTACTTTGAAAAAAATTGCCAATTTGAATTTCCATATTTCATATTTTGATGTGGGTTATTTTTGAACTGAAAATTTTGGGTGTGACATTTTATTATGTCATATTTCTGGTCATTTCGACATGTTGGCATCTCTTGGTCATATTTTATTTTGGCTGGGTCTAACGGGGGGCGGGGAATAATAAACTGGAGGTCTGCCATCAAATATTGTCAAATTTTAACAGTCATTGCATGTCAACTAACAGGTATTATTACCCAGTCCAAAACACAATTGCATAGTAACTGTCACTAAAAAATATAACTGTGTACATGAACCACTCCCAGGTAAAACAACAGCAACGGTTGGACAAATCAGTGCTTTCATTTTATTGATGGTGGGGTCTTTGTATCAGTGTAAATTGGACCCCACGGAAGACAGCTTTAAGCCTGAGCCTCAGTATTTTCAGAAGCTCCTTCACGGCAGCACAAACGTTTACCATCTGCTAGAGGATTAGGGCAGCTGTAGCATGTAACATTGAGAGGGATTTCAGCTGACATCCATACCAGATTAAGGGCTCCCTGGACCAGTGTTAAATGCAGTGGAGGGATGCAGCAGATGTGGTGATGTGCAGGCATTGAAAAACAAGGCGTCCTATAAAAGGAGCTCACTCTCTTTTACAATATGCAAAACGGGGTTGTATATCCTCAAAACGCGGAGTCACCAAGAAGTCTATTAATAATTGTCAGGGGTTCAGGGAGAGAGGCACAGATGAGGGAGGAGACTGAGAGCGAGGGGGAAGAATCCAGGAACGAGGAGGAGGAGGATGACAATGACTTGAGGGCTTCCATGAGTCTCTCAAGTGAATCGGAGGATTCCCAAAAGGGGGGCGCCCCTGGTCAGGCCAAGGGGAGCCACAGGGGGGACTCGTCAGGAGCAGGGGAGCAGCAGGGAAACCCCGAGTGGGAGTGGGAGATCGGGGCCGGCTTCCCAGCCGGAACGGAGTGAAGAGGGTGGAGTTCCCAGTGTGACACACGGAGCAGAGCAGGAAGCAGAGAGGGGAAGGAGATCGGGGCAAGACGTCCTGCCGGAAGGGGCGGAGAGTAGTACAGAGAGTAGTATAACTGTCAAGAGGAAGGTCAGGGGTAGCGAACGCGCGCCAAGTTCAAATGTGGAGGCGCGCGGAAATGCGGAGAGCCCGGAGGAGGAGCCTGGTCCCAAAGCACGGAGGAGGGGGGAGCAGGCGTCTGGGGACTCAGCGTCAGGGGAAAGCAGGAGGGAAGGAACCCAGGGGGGCAGAAAGACCCTGCGGAAAAGGAAGGACAGGAAGAGGTGGACTAGCACAAGCCTCTTAAACTGGTGTAGAGGCGGGACTGATTCAGAGGGGACTTCAGCGGTCTAAGCGTAACAGACGTGGAGCTGCGCACCTCGGCTGTGGAACAAACAATGTATTTCAATAGAGACTTTTGTAAATAAAGTGGACTTGGCGTTGGTCTCTTGTGAGCTGGGACCTGAGGCGGCCCTGACAATAATGATTGTTGTTAACGTCTTTGTCAAAGTACCTGGTGGTTTACAATGACAAGCAAAAAGCACAGCCTCATCCGCCAAGTATTTTACAATCTGAATTAGTTTATAACCTACACAAAAGAGATCTGAAGATGGGTAAAAGTAGAAAGAAGGGATTGGGAAAGTCCAAACTGGATGGGATGTGAAACTAAAGGAAACGATCGTCCTTTCCTTCAATGCTTCCCCTAATAATAATAATAATAATAATAATAATAATAATAATAATAAAAACACCCTTTCCCTTAAAGCTGCTGATAGCCTGGGTGGCTGGGTTAAAAACTGATTGCAAAATGTGTATCCCTATAACTAAAAGCAGCTGTGGGTGGGCAAGAAATAATTTCAACAGTGGGAGTGTCTTGGAAGGATGGTTAACCTCTCCACACTCAGTGCAAGGGGAACGCCCATTTCTGCATGTGGCTGCTTTTAATATTGGAATGGGATGTTGGGAGGTCTGGTCATGGATTCCCCAGTGTTTTCTAGATCGGCTCTCAATTTGAACATTGGGAGCGGGTCCCAGAGGGGCTGATAGGAATGATGAGGCAAGGGAAGGAAACAAGAGAAGACAGGGTGGGATAGAAGAGGCAAGGGTGATATGGGATGAATGTGAGACGCTTTGTTTTGGTTGCAGACGAGGACTGTAGTTGGGTGAGATCTGGACTATTGCAACGGTCCCGGTGAACACACACAAAATCGCACTTCTCAATCGATAGCCCGAAACATGTGCAAACTGCCATAGCGTGAAGACTCTGCCAGCTGCCCGCCAAGAAACATAGGAACATGAGAGTCTGCCTTATACTTAGGCAAACCGCTGGTTCATCTAGCTCAATATTGTCCACACCAGGAATGGGGAACCTTAAGCCTAAAAGTCCAAGCCCTTGGGACTCTCCCCAGGACACAGCCCTTCCCATGCCACACCTCTTACTGACCATATTTCCCCACCCCTCTGTGTAATGTTTGGCCATGTTTGCCTGCCTGGAATGTATATTTGAACTGTGATAATGTCTCTTACTTGCCTGGACGTGTGCATAGGAACCTCTGGATTTGTGCATGGCTGCAATGTAGCCTACTGCACAAAGGCAAGAGTGACTTCTCTTGCTCCACTCACTTTTTGCCCACCACTGGTATATGGCCCTTGGAAGGTTTTCTATGAGAGAACGTGGCTCTTGGGCTGAAAATTGTTCCCCACCCCTGGTCTACATGGATTGGCAGTGAATCTCTAGACAGGGGACTTCCTCAGTTCTATGTGGAGATGCTGGGGCTTCAACGTAGGATCTACTGTGAGAAATGTCATTCATTCCCCATGTGAGTGCTCTTCCGGTGACACTGTTTCATTATGTAAAGAACCACCTCCGGAATGACCAGCCCAAAGCTTAAAGTTTAACCATCCGAACCAGATCCAATAGTGCCAAAGACTGCAATTTTTCAGTACAGTGGTACCTCTGGTTAAGAACTTATCTCGTTCTGGAGGTCCATTCTTAACCTGAGCGACCAGTTTAGCAAATGGGGCCTCCCACCACCACTGCACAATTTCTGTTCTCATTCTGAAGCAAAGTTCTTAACCCGGGGTACTATTTCTGGGTTAGCAGAGTCTGTAACCTGAAGCATCTGTAACCTGAAGCATCTGTAACCTGAGGTACCACTGTACTTCACTCTCCGTACTTCAAAAACATTGGAGACAATATGAGCTGTACATAAGCAATTGTCAAGAACTTTCATTCTTTGTCAAGCTCTTGAACACCAGAAATGTTTCTGACAACAATTGATTGGTTTCTTATTTCCAACTTTTGCTGCCTCCACAATGTTTCTCTCTCTCTTTAGCCTCGACTTTCAGATTTTTGTTTGTTGCTTAACAGCCCTTTCGTAACAGGCAGTTATGCACGACAACTACTGCCAGTGTTTATGTGTCCCAACCACAATCTGTAATAGCTATACAGGCTAATGTGAAAGACCACAAATCACAGTCTTGGATGCAGATACTGAACCCTGGCAGAAAAGCGGAGAACAATTCCTAGAATACAATCCACAATAAAATTTGCAACATGATGAACTGAGGAAAACAAGAAACTTGGCATCAAGTTGTGTGGAAATGGTTGATCCCAACAAATGATTAAGTGAGAAAACTCATGATATTTTTTAAAGGTATCAAACATCCTCAACCAGTGTATACAGATTCTATAGGAGACAAGATGAATCTGGGGCACATGTGTAGAAACGTCTGTGGTGGGTAGAACTACAATTGCACCCTCACATATTGTATGAATGCAAAGAGCACATCTTGTAATATATAAAAATTATTTCCATTGTGCAATGTATTTTGGAGGCAGTATGCCTCTGAATCTCAGTTGCATGGGAATCTGATTGGCCATTACAAAAGGTAAAGGTAAAGGACCCCTCGATGGTTAAGTCCAGTCAAAGGTCACTATGGGATTGCAGTGCTCATCTCGCTAACAGGCCGAGGGAGCTGGCATTTGTCCACAGACAGATTTCTGGGTCATGTGGCCAACATGACTAAAGTGCTTCTGGCACAACGGAACACCATGACGGAAAACAGAGTGCACAGAAATGCCGTTGACCTTCCCACCGCAGCGGTACCTATTTATCTATTTGCACTGGTTTGCTTTTGAACTGCTAGGTTGGCAGGAGCTGGGACAGAGCAACAGGAGCTCACCCCGTCACAGGGATTTGAACCGCTGACCTTCTGATTGGCAAGCCCAAGAGGCTCAGTGGGTTAGACTACAGTGCCACCCGCATCTTGCTGCAAAAAGAGTGTGCTGGATTAGATAAAGCCCTTGGTCTAATCAAGCAGGGATTTTCTTATGTTGTGGATGTTCACCAGCTGGCTTTTGCTTTCCCATCCACAATTCCCACCCTGCCTCTAGCTGTCTACTTCGGAATTCAGGAAGTGACATCCGCTCAAGTTGCAGTCCTCTCCCTCATTGCACCAGCCCAATTCCAACTCACCATATTTAAAATGCTAAAGGTTATTTTTGGATATTTAGGCTCAGTCACAGAACAAAGGGTGGTTTTAGTTTTGACTCTGCTGGACAGAGATAAGTATCCAGTCCTTGCCTGTTTCATT